GAAATGTGACAACCCAATACTTCCATCTAGTGGCCTAGAGGAGAACTTCAAAGGGAACCCTATAGGCCTATAGAGTTCCGTATAAGTCCTATAGGTCCTATAGAGAATCCTATAGGTCCTATAGCGAACCCTATAGGTCCTACAGGGAACCCTACAGGTTTTATAGGGAACCTTACGGGTCCTTTACAGAGCCATTTGGGTCCTATAGGGAACCTATAGGTCTTATGAGGAACCCTATAGGTTCTATAGGGGACTCTATAGGTCCCGAACTGAACTCTATGGGGCATAGAGGATCCTATAGGATTCCTTTAAGTTCCTATAGGATTCCTTTATAGGAATATATAGGAATCCTATAAGACATTTTCGTAAGGGGTCATAGAGTGCCGATCGATAAGAGGACGGGGTTCCGATTGATAAAGGGGTCGGAATCCCGATAAATTTATAGGCGGAGATCTCATATAGGCGTGGAAGTCATCTTCCCTCCAGGGATGAAAGGGAACCACAAGTATAATACGCGGGGACGTTGTATACGTCCCCGCGGAAAAGTCCGTATCGGTCCTCCCTAAGTAGGGAGCGGGGTGTGTGCTCAGAATGCCTCTCTTTCCCGTTGTAATGCTAGGGATGGCATGGTGAGATGGGTTCAGTGAGGTAGTAGTAACACACTTGATCCTCCAACAGGAGGTCCTGGGTGCGTTTCCTCGCCCGCTCTATCCTTTCTTCTTTAGTCCTCTTATGTCATCCGAACTCTTCCCCCATCCCCCTGGCTATCGCGTTCTCGAGAATAGATGCGATAGTCGCAACGGCCAGAAAAAAAAATGCGAGCCAGAGAGAGGCAGACGTACGCCCAGAGGCAGGTAGAAGTACCCTTCCCTCTTTCACTTGAATCATCCCTCACGGGAGCGTTTAGTACCTCACCATATGTCTGGCCTAATCTCATTATTAAAATTAAGAAATGCGAGTACTTTATCATTTACTATCCCATATTCGAAACAAATTCATTGAGCCCAGGCTATGAACAAACTCATATTCCCTATATGATTCATTTACTTAAATAGGGTAATCTCATCCAAAAGGAGTTCTAGAACAACAACGTGTTCGCGGGTACAACTACCCGATTCTTCGTTCTGAGGTCGCAATGAGGAGACTAGGTACTGAAATCGTGTATACTCCATGGAATATCAAGGGATGGACCTTTCCCTAAAATGTATTACATTTAGTGCTAAACAGATTGTCACAGAAGATGCGGACATATATAGAGTGGCACATGCATACACCTTATTAGAACCATACTTACACATGTAGATACGCAAGCATGACTCTGCTTGTCGCGGACAGATATATACCTCTCCTATATATACAGAGTAATAAAAAAATATGTGTCTTCCTTTTGTCTTTAAGAATTTACATATATCCATGACATTTCCAGGTACATGAAATACTGTAAATTTCCTATAGCTTGCCATCATATAAAAGTCTGCTTGGAAACTCTACAGGAGGGACACTCAAATTCATATTGAACGTTTTAGAAATTTCAGTATGAACTCTAGGAATTGGGTGCCAATGATTGGATGAGAGTGACTCACGCTCAAGCTGTAGGAAAGAGACCCATTGTCCCCGAAGTCATCGTCTAAGGCCTTGATCCAATACTCGTTGCTTACTCCAGGCACTTCTCCCACGAATCCCTTCACAGCATCCAATTCGCAAAGTCATATCTGAGGAGAACTTAAATTAATAGGAAGAATTTCGATATCAGTTTTCGTGTACTCACTTCTTCAACGGAAATCTGCAGCGGTAAATTGTCCCAATAGGGTTTTTTGTCGTTCACAGGCAAAATGAGTAAGACAAAGGACTGCAAATTTCCCTGTACAAGAGATGCAAGGCATAATCGACACCAATCAGCAAATTTTATTTCATTGCAGGAGAAACCGGTGAGACGTGATTCGTAATTTTCTACCTGAAGCCATATGATAATTTCATCTTCGCCCATGAAATCCTCAAAGGCATGGGGTTTGGCCCAACCCAGATCGGCTGATGTATCATTGCTCTGGAGAATTTTGAAGAATTGCTCATTCTCATTGGGGGACGCGGCAAGAATGAAGAGTTCCGTGCATCCTGAACTGCAGAGGACTTGAAAGAGGACGGTGTCATCAACGGGGGCGTCTTCCCTCACATAGGCTTCTGTCGTGTCTGGATTCCATTTGGCGTAGGTTTCGTCCATTAGTTGAAACCAAGGATTCGCAAGATTCAGATTTTCTGCAGAGGCCAGGAACCATATGTTTCATTCCTCTTCCGTTGCAAATGTTGCCTAATAGCGTAATTTGTCTAAGTTCGAGGCCCGCAGAAAATGTGCCTAAGTTCGAGATAGCACATATTCGACCCGTCACTCAATGCTATATGCCAAAATATTGCCAATCGCATCCTATCGCATCGTCTGCTGAGTGGAGAAGGCGAATAGCTGATAAATTGCCTTATAGGGCCTGGAGCATGGATGTACCCCTCATTTATTTGAGCCGAGGTCTTGGAGCCCGGATGATTAGGCTCTAGGTGCCATCCTGGCAACTTCAGCAGGTCCTGGTATAAGATTTTTCCCAGCTTCCTTTGCAACTTTTTCGTCTTTTAATGCTATAAGCGTATATTCTGGAGCTGTGAAACACTAAGACTAGGTTACTATCTTCTTTTGTTACATAGATCATGAAATATAGACACTCTCGCACTTAAGAACACAACCTCATCGGGTATTAATTTCGGTATGGTGTGGAAAAGGTATGTGCCTAAGTTCGAGGCCATATCAAACTTAGGGAAATACTGGGAAAAACTTGAGAAAGTTTGAGAAAATGCTAGGAAAATTAAAAAATACCATGGGAAAGTAAGCTTCAGGTGAGAACAATTAAACGATCTATTTTCGTGAAAGAAGATGCAGTCCTTGTCTGCTTTTCTAGGATATATTCATTCCGGAGAAAACATATAAAACCTTGAAAATCCTACCATTTAGTGAGATCTACATTATTTAATTACATTATTTTATTAAAATTCCCATCAAAAGCAATGTTCATAAATCTCTCAGGTAGCCATACATATGCGTACAAATATTGAAATGCCCCCACCTAATCTCAAATACATACTCTCAGAATGCCATTCGCCAAATTTAAAAAAATTCTCGGTATCCTTTCCAGAACTACATGTGAAATTCATATTCCTATCATATGAAGAACTTATACATGAGCCATCAATTAAGTGATATATTCATTCTATAGATTGAATGAAAGTCTGATATTAGTGTCATTCCATAATCATAGAAGTCCAAAAAGAAAGCAGAGGCTATTTTGTAACTGTCAGATGTGACAAGTCCTGAAAGTTCATTTGAAAATGCGAAGTCTGCTCTTGTCTGGAATAGTAAAATTCTTTGTTAAATATCATTTAAATTTGAAATATATATTTGTTTCACACCCGTGCTGATTTGATAATATTATGAATTTTTGTATAGGAGTCAATATTCACAAATCTAGAGAAATTTCTAGCAATAAAAGTTCACACCACTTGGCGTAGACAGACGACCGAAAGGAACATCTCACCCCAGCAAAAAACAATGAAGAAAGTATCCTTTATGCCAAACATTTTCCCCCTATGTTCTTGTTCTCACGCTGCAGGCACACTTTTTCATTTTCTCCTTCTGCGATGTATAAGCACTACATTTCGGACCAATTTTTATTATGCGTTTACAATGTGCCCTAAGAAGTACTTGCATTTGGATGGGGTTTTCTTGCACCTTCATCTACGGAACAACATTAATTTTCTCTTTCCGATGCAGGGGTGGCATAAGTGCTTTTCTTAATATGCTTAGTCGTCTCTCATTCGCAACGGAACGAAGAGTGCAATCTGTGGGATTCCTGTGAGAACCTAGCTCAAAATAAATGAAAATAGGAAAAATTTGTACTAAACCAATACATTGGCTTTGCTGCTAATGAACTATTTAAAAAAATCCTACAACTATCCCATATTATCCTGCAATATTTCAAATTGACAGCTTCTTAAATTTGCAATTAAGCCAATGAAAAGTTATTTTGCGCAACAGGATGTATGTCCACCACGACACAAATATAATTATTTCAATGTATTTCTTTGTTCACCATGCATACATTACGAACTAAGAACAAACCGTATGGAAATTAGGAACACCTCTGCTAGAACTTAGGGCCAACCCTCTCGAAATTAGGCGCACTACACCTCATTGACGAAATGTCGTCTCTATAATTCTATAAAGGTGTGATTACCATAATTTTGCACCCTGTTCATCTCTCAAGAATCCAAGAAGCTGATGTTGAGCCAAAAATCAGCATGGCATCTCTAATGAGTGTCTGCGATAGATATCCCCATACCCAGAAAAAAACGCCTTGAACTTAGGCAAATTACGCTATATCGTTGCACAGAATTTCCCTGAAGGAGTAGAGGCGTACCTATCGCATTTCCACTTCAGGGCTAAAGTTAAGACTGCAAGCTATACTGCCGAATAAGAAGTACGTATTTTCTTTATTTCTGTTTCAAAATACACATTTCCTGTTACACTTCTTTCTTTGTGTGCTACGTATAATTTTTCCCGTTGGTTTAACGTCCATCTATGATTAATCTTAATTATTTATTATACTCCTCTGATTTTGACTCATTACTCAATAGGAGCGTGCAGCGCTGTCAGAGACGCATATTTTCTTTGTCATCTGTACCTGAAAATATGCTGTTTGCAATTATTTCCTAGAGCAAACTGTTTTCAACTGATTTTTCTTTCGTCGTTGCTACTTCCGATGTGCATTCCCCAATGACACATGGCAAAATTGAAAATTGCCTAACCCATAGAAATTCAACTGACAGGAATAAAGGAGTAAAAGGTGATATAAGCGCCTCAAAGAGAAGAGGAAAGGTTTCAGAGGAATTATCTCAAGGCAGAAAATGCCAAGAGGAGACCGAAAGTCCGAAAGGGCAAAAATGGAGAGAAGAAGGTGAAACGGCGCTCTCGCGGAATATACCGAACATTGACTTTGGAAGATGTGCATCATACTGTTGGAAGCAGCAGCTTCAGGAATGACCCAGAGGAAAGGAGCCAAGGCATATGGTGTTACAGAATCTACGCTTAGAGACCGTCTCTCAGGCCGTGCTGATGCAGAGGTCATTCGTTCCGGTCCAAAGACATGGCTTGGAAAATATCTTGAGAATAGAATTGTGGAATACATGAAAGGAAAGCAGAGAGAAACTTCTCCATCGACAGGGAAATGCTTCAAAAGAGGGTACAAGAGAACCTCCAAGCAAAATACTATCATGGTGTATTCCTTTCAAATACATAAAGTCAGAAACGAACTGGATCCCACGATTCCTCAGTCGTCATTCAGACGTTTCGGAACATATCTCTCAGAATCTTCTGAGAACTTCGGCTAATGTATCAGAGCAGGATGTCTGGAAATGGCTGGTTGATGTGAGATTCTACTTGTAAGAGGAAGATGTCCTTGAACACCTTTTTGATGTGGAGAGGTCATATGTCTCCTACTTTGACGAAACAGGATTTGCGATACAAGGCAGCATTGGTCGGTTAAAAGTTTTAGCAGAAAAGGGATGACAAAAAAACAATCTAAAAGAAAGTTACTGAGGGTAAAAGCACTATTGCAATGCTTATCGGATGGATACTTTCTCCCACCAATGATTATGGTAAAGGCTCGAAGCTAAACAAATTCTACGAGGTGCTGGATTTAAAAAGGAGGAGTTTTGCTTCGGACGTTCCTCGGCTGGATGGATGATAGAACCTGCTTCTTTCTGATACATTAGATATGTATTAATTTACGCACGTGAAGAAAGCGTCTGAAAAAGCCCGTCCTTGTTTAGATGGATGGACACCGTATCCACTCTACCATTGAGCTGCGGGAACTTTGGAAGAATGATGAAAATATCTTGTACGCTTTGCTCCCTCATGCAATCGACATCCTCCAGTCTCTAGACCTGGCGGCTATGAAGTTCGCGAAGAGTGCCTTTTATAATAAAGCTCTCCCTGACTGGCATGAAAAGCACCCTCAGGTGGACATCATCAAAACACGCTATTTGCAGGTTCTTCTTCGGTTTAGAGGTAAGTCCGGAAATGAGGTCATATGACAACTTCAGGCTTCCCTGATTACACAACGTGCTACTCATTAGACTTCTTGTTGGGAGGTAGCACAAGCCCCATCCTAGTCCTTTTACTCTAACCGACGAACCACGAATAACGTTTGCATCCCATGAAGTCCTGAAAACGATTAGAGGAAATCTTGTCCCTGAAATTCTCCAGAAGTTCAAGCTTAGGATCGATGAAAAATCGGCGTAAAACTCAATGGAGATGACGCATCACCCAAGCAGCAACTCTGGTACTTTCATGGTCCTTATTTAGAGTTATGCAAGGTATCTGTGACGGGGAAAGTCTACCACTGTACATCGGGACGTGAAAATCCTTGATGAAGCCTAATCGCCGACCAATCACCACCATCTGAACTACAGGCAGAGAATTCTACTCTTGTTTCAAAGGAGGAACACGAAGAAATGTTCATGGAGGCATTGCAGGTAGGTGAATCCAGCACTTCCACGGGCCTTACTCATGCCAGGAGAGCAATCTGCCTCACTCTGCCAAGGTCCATCTCTGGGAAAACAATTCTTTTCAAGTCCTCGTTCAGTACATTTTTCAAGTTCCATCGTCGCTGATTTCAATGAAGAAGTACCACCCGAGAAAAGAGGAAACTCGTGTTTCAAAAATCTATAGGAAAGTCTATAGGTTTCCTATAAGAAATAACTATAGGTTTCCTATAGGACATTTCCGTAAGGGATGATCTAGGAATTCCAGCACCCGTAACTCAGCAGGAAAAAAAGGAAGAAAACTTCTGAGAAGTCAGTGGGTGAAACTGTCCCGCGCACATCATGCAAATATGCAATGAAAAGGATGACGAGTGGATTAGATGCAAGAGTGGGACGCTTGGTGCTATAGGGTTTGAATCCTTGCAGGTTTTTCTGGACTCTCAGAATATGAGATCCACGCTTGTTATTGGGCATGCGGGAACTGTGAGGACCAATAGCAAGTGATCGTTTCTTCAGTTTCAGAATATATTAATATTTCTCCGCGATACTTAGTGGTATTTTCCATCTGAGAAGCGAGTGCTTTCTAGATGCTTTCTGATTCCTGTTTTTGGACAAAAAGCAAATTCTTTCTTCTCAATAAATGGTTTCATTTCTCCCATAGTGGCTTTGCAATCATTTAATTTTTTTCCAATTAGGCCAGGTGTCCTAATTTTCACGAAATCCTATAGGTTCCCTGTAGGGCCTATAGGGAACTCTATAGGATTCATTTATAATCCTAAAGGAATATATAGGAATCCTATGAGACATTTTCGTCACGGAGGCCATTTCAAAGCATACAGCTCGAAAATGACATTTGCCTCGAGCAATTATCACTGAGACAACCGCGAAATCAGCCCTTCACTCCCCTATCCCTGAATCTCAGGCGTCTCCTTGCCTGATTGTTACTGGAGCGGCGTCATATTTGCGGTTGATTGATAGCCAAATTGGCACCCTGCAAAATGAGGTATTTTGTTTAAGTCTCCGACCGAGGATAAAATCGTCATTCGACGCGAATTTACAAAATAAAAGTGACGTTCACGAAAACTAACCCTTTTATCATTCATATCCTTTAAACGTCCTAAAATTCTGGTTAATTTTTATCACAAGAAAGAAAATGGTTAGAAAACGCATATTTCATTTTGGGGCGAGGAATCGTTTCGGTGAAAGAATAGTTGGTACGCGCAGGAAGCACCAATTTCGTGGCAGACCCTGCCCATAAAATGGCTGCTCTTTGCGAAATGATGGGGTGGGGAAAAACTTCTGCAATAATTTCCTGTTGAAGGATGAAAAAAATGTTTGCCTATCCTTGAGATATTCATTCACAAGCTTTTGGAAACAGGCTATTTGAGAGAAAGAGTGGAAGATTAAAACTACCCGGAACTGAAGAAAACTGCGTTGATATGGAAGCCATTGTTTCTCGAGATGATAATTCCGGTATGCAAAATTCGCCTGTCCAAATTGCAAGACATTAAGACGAGTCAGAGATCGGCTTAACGGATCCTGCGTTACAAAGGATAAAATCCTTAAAATAAATTATCATTGTTATTGATTGGGACTGTTCCTTATGTCAGCGTCCAGATGTGAGTGCAAGAAAATAAAAATTGATTGCTTTTGCAAAATCACTCTCTTGCTAAAACAGCTTGAGAGAAACGGGCAAACATTTTCGAATGTTCAAAGGATGCATATAGGTTGCAAGAAAGAGACTTATTTGTTTCAAAGGCATCACGAATTTTCAACACGCGGCGTGTTTTTTTCATCTTGGGTCACCACCCTTACGAAAATATATTATAGGATTCCTATAGGAACCTAAAAAATCATATAGGATCCTATATGCCCCATAGAGTTCAGTTTGGGACCTATAAAGTTCCCTATAGGACCTATAGATCCCCTTATAGAACCTATAGGGTTCCCTATAAAACCAATAGGGTTCCCTATAGGACCTGTGGGGTTCGCTATAGGGCCTATAGGGTTCCCTATAGGTCTTATACGGAATCCTATAGGCCTACTGGGTTCGGTTTTAAGTTCTCCTCTAGGCCACTAGATGGAAGTATTGGGTTCTCGCATTCCTCAAAGGGCACAAAAGTGCCCTCCCCTTACCCAAGGAATCATCTCTCACAAGAGTGTTTCGTACGTCCCCAAATGA